ATTTGTCTCAATCATTCAAGGTAAGACTTTTTCTATTCTAAAAATAATTCTAAGTCTGCCTGATGATTTGAGACATTGACTGAGACTGCTTTAAAAGAACTGTGTTATTTAAAGTACCAGTTGTGTTGCCAATGAATATATGTGTCAGAAAAAAAGAAAAATTTAAATAATTATAATTTGATGTGGCTTATTTGAGTTGCTCTGGTCAGTAAACCTCTGAATATTGAATGATGCTGGGGAAGTCTTTTTCATTTTTGAAAAAACTTTAGAAAGTGGATCTTTTTTAGAAAAAAGACCATCTTAGTCAAATTTTGGAAATAGCTGTAAGGCGATTTAGCAATTAGCTTGTAAGGTGGTTGGAATATTGGGAAACTGCTATAAAGGGCAGATTTATCTCTAAAATATATCCAATACACGAAGAATCGTTTCAGAAGAAGACGAGGATAGTTTGACAAGCAGTGATTTATAGCGGTTTACAGTGGCGGGTCTGTGCTTGAAGTTAGTACAGTTACAAATAAACCCTAAAACGTAAATACGCAGAGGATTGAACCCTTAGAAGAAGGGTATCAATGGAATAGAAGCTAGAATTGCATGCATTCTGATTTTGACAATAAAGCTGTTCAGTGTTTGGAGTAAAAGACTGATCTGAGAGCAACTTTAAAATACATATTTAAAATACATATATATATATATATATATATATATATATATATATATATATATAAATTGATCTGAGTTAAGACAAACAAAAAAGGAAAACAGAAATTATTAGAGTTGTTTTTTTCTTTTCTTTTTCCAACCCCTTCTTTGTTTTTTGAGAAATTAGAACAGGTGGAGGGAGAAAAGCAGAGTGAGGGAAGCAGAGAGCCCCTCCCTTTGGAATTCACTCCCCACACACACTCACTCACAAAAATAGCCTTGCTGTTTGAGCACACAGACACAGAGTGACAAATAATTTTCAATGGCAGAAAGTGGATTTAACAGCAGAACAATATCTGCTTGGTACTTAGAAAGAAAACAGAAAAAGCAAGCTAAGTTTTTGAAAAAAGGACTGGACATTAACACATCTATGGATGTACAGTTAAGCTGGCTTGAGTCTCAAAAAGACTCTATCAAGTCAAAAGTATTCCCAATCCTCGCCGCACATTGGATTTTGAAACAAGGTGGAATTTGTTGCGGTATCAATGGGTGCCCAGTCCCACTTGTTGAAGCAATGAAGCCTCAAATTGAAGCATATAACAAATTGAACAAAAGTATGTCTATTAAATGTTCAGATGGAGAAAATACAACCAATGACGATTCATTTGATCCAGATTGGACAAATATAATAACTGAAGCTGAAAAGAAATATTCACAAGCACCAGTGAAATCTGCAACAACTGTAACGCCTCCTCCTTACAACCCAATTTATCCAATTTTGCCTGAACAATATACAAATTCATCTAAACCTCTGACACAGCCTCAAGCTTCGAGATCAAATGGAGGTCCAGTTGACAAAATGTATATTGGATCTGCACAAGCAGCTCCGGTAATAACAAGATCTAAAACAGTTCAGCCAAACAGAGACATGCTGCGATGTACACCAGCTCGGAATTATGATTCTGACTGGGGTGATGAGACAAGAGATGACGACATGATCACAATTGACAAGATTGGTCCTGAATTTTCTTCACCTGTAATTAAAAGGGAAGGATCTGAAATGATGACAGAAGAGAGACCATTCACACCAGGAGAACGTCAAGCCATTCTCACAGCCTTGCCTCCTCTGAAGAGACAAGATCCAAACACAGAGTTTTGGCGAGAATTAGACTCATTGATTGAAGCACATCAAATGTCATTAAGAGACATACACACCATTGTGAAAGCTAAAATCCCAAGAGACAGATGGGAACGCTTGCCAGCTTCGATAACAACCGCCCAATGGATATTTGTGGGTTGATGGCCAGGGACGACCCCTGGGTCTTTGGCAAGCATTAGATGTGTTCCGAAAAGAAATCCAGGAAATCTTGGGCAGTGGTAAAATTCCTTTCACATTAGTGACATTGATTAAGCAAAAGGATGATGAATCTCCAGATGAATATGCTCTACGTAAGTGGAATGCTTATGAGAGATGGGCTCTTTGTGCCAAGAAACAACCTGACAGAGATGATGTACAGTTCACTGACACACTTGTGGATGGACTTAGCGCAAAATACCAACAAGCCTTGTCACTTGGAGTCAACCCAGGTGAGACATTTGACCAAATTATGCAATGGGCTGGCCGCTTAGAGATGGCTATGAGATCAAATAAAGAAGAAGGAAACAAGCCATATCGAAGAGGAGTGGCAACAGCTCAATACAACAAGGACACAAAGAATAGGGTGATTTTCTGAAGCAACTGTGGAAAGCGTGGACACTCCAACATAGATTGTTGGGCTAAAGGAGGTGGAGCAGAAGGTCAAGGTCCATCATTTAGACAGGTCAGTGCAAAAAACCATAATGAAACCCCTCAAGGGAAGACATGGACTGAAGCACAAGTCCGTCAGCTCATTGAGGGAATTATGCGTCCGCAATAGGAATCAGCGGCCCCCTGTATTAGTAAGAAAAGAGACAATCGCCTTTTCGTCAATGCATTAATAGAGGGCCACCCATGTGACATCCTGGTTGACACAGGAGCAGCTATTTCAATAACAGATCTGAACCTACCTACAACAGATGAAACTATGGAAGTTGAAGGAGTTGGAGGAGGTATCACAAAATTTCGCAAAAGTATTCAAGTTCCACTGCAAATACATGAAGATGAAGTCTTATGGACATCTTTCTGGGTTGGGCCGAATTCACAAGGAAGCCTTATTGGCATGGACATTCTTCCATTGTTAAACATGATCATATTCACTGACAGTCGTCAAATCGCTACAACTGCTGGGATAATACCACACGAAGATCGCACATGTAATCTAAGGTCTGTTGGTACAGCAAAACCAATTATCAGGAACTGGAAAAAAGACGGTGTGTGGGGTCTTCTGTGCAGTTTATATTCAGATGTTTGGGCTAAACACAAATTGGATTGTGGTAAAGCCAACATTGATCCCATTGTTATTGAGGGACCGATACATGCCCCTCATAAACAATACCCCATCCGACCTGAAGCAAGACGAGCCGTGGAGGAGATAGTGGCAGACTTGGAAGCTGAAGGAATCATCAGACAAACTTCATCTACCACTAATAGTCCTGTCTGGCCTGTCAAGAAATCTGATAACTCATGGCGACTAACCATTGATTACACAAGACTTAACAGTGTAACACCAAAACCGCATCCTATTGTGGCCAATCCTGCCACCATTCTGAATGATATTCCAGGAAATGCTAAAATTTTTACGGTACTGGATGTACTGTCGGCTTTCTGGTCTATACCTATAGACAAAAGATCTCAAGAGAAATTAGCCTTTACAGTGGGGGCAAAACAATATGTTTGGAACAGACTCCCACAAGGTCTTAATCTTTCTCCTGTTGTATTTCATAGAGCTTTGGACCAGTTCTTAACGGAGCAAAAAGCTGAAATTGAGAAATCAGGAAGTGTCTGCCTCCAATATGTTGATGACTTGTTAATTGCAAGCCCAGATGAAAACAGCCATGTATTTGCTCTGAATGTTGTCCTACAAGCCCTTAGGAAAGGGGGATTCAAAGTTAACCCCGACAAAGCACAGCTGGCCAAATCCAAGGTTATCTATTTGGGCCAAGAAATATCTGTGGAGGGAAGGAGAATGACAACAGAGCGTGTAGAGGCATTACGACAACTTCCAAAACTTCTAACAGTTACAGGAATGCGGAAGGTGATGGGACTTTTCAACTATTGTCGTCAGTATATACCTGATTTTGCTAGCATCACCAGCCCCCTCATCGACCTGTACAAGGGAGGAAAGCCTGGAGTGGAACAGATAAACTGGACACCGGAAGCTGAGGAAGCGTTTACTTCTATGAAAGAAAAACTGACTTCAGCCCCAGCTTTGGGACTTCCTGACGGACGGTTGCATTTTCATTTGTGGACCAGGGTAGGAGATGAGACATATTCAGCAGTACTGTGTCAAAAACCAGGTGATCGATACAGACCAGTTGGATACTTTTCCACAAAGATTCCTGTCACTATGATTGGGCAACCACGATGTATACAAGCCCTCGATGGTGCCACATGGGCAGTGGATGCTGTTGAGAATCTGATAGGAGCACAAACTATCATATTGCACACTCCACACAGTATGGTGACACTGTTGAACAACACGAACATCAAAACCATAACTGATGCAAGAAGAGCAAAATGGGAAGCAACTTTGTTGAACAAGGATTTAAGAGTGGAAATCATCAGGGACACGCCTCTTAACCCTGCAACAATGATGCTGGAACCACATGAGGGAATACCACATGAGTGTGAAAAACAAGTAGAAGAAGATAGTCTTGGTCCAGTTAATCCAATCCCTCTTGAAAACCCAGACAAAGAGTTATGGGTTGATGGATCCAGTTATTATGTTGATGGAAAACTGGTGTCCGGTCCCGTAAATCAAATAATAACGGGGAAACAAAAGAGGCTTTAATTCCAAGTCTACAATGACCCAACACCTGTGAAGAGACGACTCAACACCCGTGAAGAGACGACCCAACACCCGTGAAGAGATGACCCAACACCTGTGAAGAGATGACCCAACACCTGTGAAGAGACGACTCAACACCCGTGAAGAGATGACCCAACACCTTTAAAGAGACGACTCAACACCCGTGAAGAGACGACCCAACAGTATTATGGGGGCCCGTCTCTGTTAACAACACGCTGGCAGAGAAAGAGTTAAACATCATGTTTCTCCTAGAAATCACATTAGTAAAAATGAGCTGTGAACACCGTATCCTGACTTTAAAAATAAATCTAACACACCTTCAGTGATTGGCCCCTAATAACCTGCACTAAAAGCAAGAAAGCTAGAGTAGCATCAATAATAATATTGTTTCCAATGAAAGATTGAGCTACTCACCATAGAGAATAACCCTGAATCTTTTGGATTTGGTCTCTCTGGTGCTGATGAGCTTCAGCTGATAATCTCCTGAATGTGTGATTTTGACGTCTCTGATGGTGAGATCTCCAGTCTCACTGTTCAGCTGCAGTCGGTCTCTGAATCTCTCGTCATCACCAGGTAAAGTCTTGTTGGTCCTTACAGAAATTTGAGTGATGATAGAGCCTTGAGGTCCAAACCTCCAGAGTATTTCATCATATCTCTGTAGTTCGGTTATGCCAGTGTGTAGAGCGACTGAATCTCCCTCTGTCACTTCTTTTGCCTTCATTTCATCTGTTCATTGCACAAAGACAATAAAAAGCTTGTTTCTCGGAAATTTAACTGATATAACTGCCAGTAAAATCAGTAAAACTACTCAAATTTAAGTTTACTTGACTAATTAACCTCATGTGGTTTGCCGCTCTAAATTTCAGAACTTCAAGAAAATCTGAAAATTTGTAATTGTAATAGTTTGTAATTGCCCAGTTTTTGTCTCTCAAAAGAGCACCGGTAACAGTTTCTCACTCTTATGGTGCTAAATGATCTCCTTGAAAAGTACTTGAGTAAATCATGTAGGAAACTTGACTCTGTAATACTTACGCTTTAGTCTCGAGTACTTGCGGCGATAGTAACACACACCAGCGGTTACAGCTACAGCCACAACGAGCAGCACACAGAGACAAATCAGTGTGGCTAAAGCTCCTGAAGACAGACCTGGCTCAGGAACCACTAGAGAGAGACAGTTATAAGTGTGCATGTGTCCTGAAAGTCTGACCGTACATGAAAAAATATGAGTTAAATAAGTTACAACTGTCCTTCAGTTTCTTTGCGGGGACACTGTCTTCACCTGCAATGTCTATCGACTCGCTTTCGGGTTAAACTTTCACAGACTGCGCAACTGGGTTATAGGTTGCCAGGTTGAGGTGACAAACGGGTTGAAATTGTATATGGTGTGTGGATTGTGTGAATATAATGCATTTCTGGCAACTGGTCAACATTAGACAAAAATATTGGTCCGATTATTCATAAAGGAGTTTGGGCCATGCAAATTACGGGAGTTTCCCGGGAGAAAAAAACAAACCAGGAGGGGTCCGGGACGGGAAAAACGGGAGTGTTGACAGGTATGCCGTAAGGGTAAAAATTACAGGTATTTTCGTCAGTTACGGCACAGATTTAGCATTCTGCCCGCTTTTAATCAGACACAGCGATAAAGTAGTGCGTAAGATTACATTTATTTCAATTAATGAATGATGGCATTTATTTGAATTAATTATCGAGAGAGAGAGAGAGAGAGAGAGAGAGAGAGAGTCTTCCATTTACAATGAAGCGTAGTGAGTTTATTTACTTAAAGGAGAACTCCGGTCAATTTTAACATTGTTTTAACATTTAACATTCGTTCGAAGTCCACAGTAGTCGATTGTCGAGTTCTCGCGCGCGATCATTGGTAACTAATATAACTAATGATCGATCGCGCACGCGAACTCGACAATCGACTACTGTGGACTTCGAACGAAAACAGGAAGTAAATACAGGTATGTGAGCTGGCTGTCCATTTGATTGGACAGAAGATGTGATGAGAAACTGAAGTCCGCGGTGATGTCATACAAATCCATGATCCATTTTAGCGGAAGTGAGAGACTTTTTCATAAACTTAAGGCTAACATATTCATACTAAAAGCTGAAAAAAATACCTTTTGATTTCAGGGGGCCTTTAATTTAATGTATTTTGTCTTACAGCACTGGCAGATTTGTTTACTTATTAAGATACAGTCTCTGAATACCTTATGAATATTTACATTTAGATTCACATTTCAGAGATTTTAGATATTTTACTGTAAAACAAGGCAAGCAAATTCTCATTTTGCAGTGTTAGGCCTAGGTGTAATTTACCATTTTAACCAGACTGGGAATTAATGAATATTAAATTTGCCTTGTCACTCGCGGTGTCTAGATGAGAGAAAGGAAAGATTCATACTCCAAAACTGGCATAAAGTTGGTTTGATGTTCGCTATTCGCAAAATTAGGAAGCGTCTATAAAGTTACATTTGTGCTTCTAATGCTTCAATAGCATTTAAAGATAATCACTTACAGTAATACAAGTTCATGTAGGTGTCAGGAATGATGCACACATTTAAGATTTCTAATATTTTAATAAAGTAAACAGTAAATAGTGTATTTCACTACCGTATGGGATCATACACAAAATACACAATCATTTAAAGCTCAATAGCATTTAATGTCTTACAGTGATAACACCAAATGTAAAGTGTTCATCTAGGTGTCAGGTATATGTCATATGTTTGTCATATATGTCCCAGTGAAATAGGGGTGAGCGAGGCACAAACTAATACAGGGTTAGTTGTAACACACATGGTTTAAAACTTTACACACATGCCAGCATGGCGAAACTTAGTGTATTTACTAGTTGCCATATCAACAAATTTTTTTAAATTTCTTACTGAAGTTGTATTTATGATTAAGTCTGTATTATTATTTTATTTTATTTTATAAATAAATAGAATGTGGGGCACGCAACGTTACAATGAGCCACTATTATAACTATTCTATTCTATTCTATTGAGAAACCATGAGAAAAATTTGAAAAAAAAAGACTGAGAGTCAAATTATAATAATAATATAAAAAAACTATGCTGCAAAGCTGTATTTTTGTCATGCTTGTTGTCAAACTCAATTATTGAAAAATTCCATTATTTATATGAAAAAGTTGATAATTGTATTTTATTGACAGAATATAGTTTGTTTTGTATATTTATTTGATTGTCAGTATTTTAATCTGTCATATGGCCATGTTATTAATGTAATCCACCTATGGGGCATGTTGTCACATTTCACTTCAAGTCTTTCAGAGTAAATTTAGAAAAAAACTATACACTGTATTAATGAAAAACACCACATAATTGTACTAGACGTGGGAAATAATACATACTCTGAACCCTAAGTGAAATTACACAAAAATGAGAAATGCACATTTGATTTGACAGTTTACTTGAATAAATACCTAAAATATAAAAGGTGTGCATCATAACTGACTCCTACATAAACACTTTAAAGTTGCTTGTAAGACAGTAATAATTATTTCCAAATGCTACTGAAGTTAGAGACGTGTATGTCAATATCGTAACTTTATAGACGCTCCCTGAATGTGCGAATACCGAAAGTCAAACGTAAATCAAACTTTATGCCAGTTGATCTCTAAAAGCGGTGGTCTGTGTTCATTAATGCGGTTTACATCTTCACAGAATACAC